TTTTCTTGTGACATTGAAGTGAGAGGATTCTGGTGTCTGTATGTACGTTGACTTGTGCAGTGTACAGGCTCAGGCTTCACCTTGACTGACCTTGGACTCCTGTCACCGTGATCAATTCCTAAATCTCTCAGCACTGGACTGTTGTTGGCAGGAAGAGAAGAAAAGGAAAAAAAGCCCCTCATACTAGAGTCCTGTCCTTGCCCTGAGCAATAGGACTTGCCAAAAATGGAGGAGATGCTGCGTTCCTCCCCCATGCCAGAGATTAGGACCTCTGTGGAAGTTAAACTATTATGAGAGGAGACAAAAAAGGGAAATCCTATGGTCTCAGGGTCCTAGATTTATCGATGTAGACACAGATATATATAATAATATTTATGGTTAGAATGTATTAAGACATTAAAGTAAGCAAATGACAAAACAGATTATGTGACAGAGTACAAAGTGAACCCACAGTCAGGAGTCCTGGATTTGCCTCCAGGCTCTTCTACTTACTAGCTGGGTAATAATGAACAACTTGCTTTACCTCTCTGAGCTTTTAGCTTCCTTACCTAGAAAATAATGCTTGTACTATTACCTGCCAAGGTTGTTATAAGGAATCTCTTTGTAAACCTTAAAGCTATAGAAATTGGAGCTGTTATTATGAAGATCATCCTCATTGTCATAGCTCCCCTTTGGAGCTTTTTTGTTTACAAAGTGCTTTGTCCATTTTCTCATTTCATCATCAAGACACTGCAGTGAGTTGGATGGGGTAAGTATAACTCCTCACAATCATACAAGTCCTAGACCTTAGAGATTATCTAGTTCAGGGGTGGGGAACCTGCAGCCTCAAGGCCACACGTGGCCTTCTAGGTCCTTAGGTGCAACCTTTTGACTGAGTCCAACTTTTATAGAACACATCCTTGTATTAAACGGATTTGTTCTATGAAGTTTGGATTTTAGTCAAAGGGCTACACTTGAGGACCTAGAGGACCACATGTGGCCTCAAGGCTGCAGGTTCCCCACCCCTGGTCTAATTCAACAACCCCCACCCCTCACTCTTCATCTGGAGAAATCTCAGCCCAGTAGAGTTAAGGAATTTGCCCAACATCACATACCAAGTCAGTGTTAGAACTGGGGCCAGAACTAAGGTCTCCTTAGGATTCTGAGTGTCATTCTCTTAACTTGCCCATGGTCACCAAGCTGGTAAACAGTGAAGCCAGGACTAGAACTAGTGGCTTCTAGATTCCTGCTAAGCACTCCTCTTACTATATCACATACCCTCCCATTTATTAGGGATGTAGGGACATTAGAAATTTAAATCTAAAACAAATTGGGACTTTTCCTATTGTGATAAAGTGATTTCCTATAATGATTCACACTACTACTAGAGACCTTATAGACCAGATTATTTAAAAGGCATTTTACCTCTTTACTTCTCCCCCACCTCCATTCCCTTCCCAAGCCCTTTCCAACTAAAGAAGATTTGCTTATCTGAGACTCAGTGCATACTGGCAAGAGTTAGACTTCTTGCCATTTGCCTTTCTGAGGCCAGGATTATCTCTCATCAACTAGATTTTACAGCCTTTTAGAATCAGCAGTTATGGGGCCAATTCTTTCTTTTCTTGCCTGCTCCACCCCACTGAAGCAGCTTGTGAATACTCCAGCATATCACTGACCCTATCCTGTTTATCAAATGTGTCAGTCACTTGCCCTTCAGATTACTTTGAACACCATCTTTCACTGTAGTCGTACAAGAAAATTGCGGGTGAGACAAATTCTGTATAGAGAATGAGCATGACATTCAGAAGGAACATATGTTCCACTCATCAAGTTAGGCAAGTAAGTCCCTTAATCTTTCTGAACCTCAGTTTGCTCATTTGTAAAATGAAGATTAAAAATGCTTGCACTGTTTGCCTCCCAAGGTTGCTGTGGGGAGCAAATCACTATGTAAATGGGAGTTCCAGTCTTGCTTTATCACCATAAAACACTGTATGTGTGAGTTATGGCAATGATGATCATAGGCTTAGAGTCAGAAAGGCCCTCTAAGGTCATTTAGCCTAACGTCATTTACAGAAGAGGAAACAAAATCCCAGAGAAGTTAACTGATTTGCCTCAGTCACACAGGTAATAAGCTAGAATTTGAAACCTGGTACTTTAACTCCAGATGCTAAGTCTTTCCACTACATCATGTGGGAGAAAGTTGGTGGTAAGTTGATGGTGGTGGTGATGGTGAAATGAAGTCACTTATTATAGAGAGGCCCTTTCCCTTCAATAGAAGGGTTTGGGGCATGAGTAGTACAAACTAACTATGTGACCTGTGGCAAATAATTTCACCTCTCTGGTATTGAATTTCCTCATCTACCAAGTAAGAGTATAGCATAAATATCTAAGGTCTCTTCTAGCTATGCCATTCTGTTTTCTTTTCTAACATTCTTTATTCTATATTTTAGCATTCTAAAGTCTGTTTCAGTTCTAACATGCCATGTCCTATATTATGTATTCCAACATTTCTATATACTAAGGTTTTCCTAAGAGCTACCATTCTATGTTCTGTATTACAGCATTCTCTGTTTTAAGATCCTTTTCAGGATTCTGTTCAGATGGTTGCCTCAATCCCTTATGCCTGATACTTTTGTAGACATGTCTTAGCATAATTCAATCTGAGAATGTCAGAGCTGGAGAAAATCTTATAGATCATGTAAACCATCCTCCTTCTCTACATCTGTCCAGAGTTTGGGGAGTTTTGGTTTTATTTGTTTGTTTGTTTAGTGGAAGTTGTTTTCTTTTCACAACTTTTCCTGAAAACTACAAACTGAGCAAGTAACTTGGGGGAGAGCTCTGAAGTGAACTGAAAACAAAAACTCTGCTTAATTTGAATTGGATGGGGTGGGGAGAGGGGGGAAAGAGAAATAAATAGCAGTGTGTTTGCCCAACCCAAAGGGCTGAGAGGAGGGTTTATGTGGAAAAAATAATTGATCAGATAGATCCCAGAACATATAAATAATATAGTATTTATAAAGCCAGCCAACTCCTGACTAGGGTTACAGGAGTAGAATGATTGACTTCTCCTAGAGGGACATATCCAAAACAAAGACCCTGATTCAAAACATCTTATCCTCCCCAACCGCTATGAGCCAATCTTGTCTAAAATGCTGTGTGAAATTCCATTCTGGCTTTGGTGCCATTTTTCTCTGAGAGGGCTGACAAAATCTGATACTTGCCTAGAAAAGATTTCCCTTCCACTTTCACTGGGAGAAAACATAAACTTTCATGCCTCAGTGGAGAATTTTAGATAGAGAGAAGGCTTTGTTTTTGACAGTGACATCAATTGCTTAGCTTTTAATAGGCTCATTTTTGTGGTATAATTGGATTGGACTTGGAGTCAGGAAGCCTGAGTTGGAATCTCAGGTCTGCCATTTTTACTAACTGGATAACCTAGGACAAATAACTTAAGTGGTTTTTCTCACAACGAGCCTTTCAGAGAGTAGGCAGTTTCATGAAATGAGTACTAGACTGGGAATCAAAAGATCTGGTGAGTTCAAGGCTCAGGTCTAATACAAACTGTGTGACCATGGGCAAATTATATCACCTTTCTGACCCTCAATTTCCTCACCTGTAAAAAGGAGATAGTAACACACTACCTATTTCATGGGGATAGTTTGAGGAAAGCACTAACATTTACAGCATTATAGGAATGGGAGTTATTATTAATATTTTCATTTTTAGTTATTCTTAGTATCCATTATTAATGTCTAGATGCCATTATTGGTATTCTCACTTCCAGGGTCTGCACACAGCTTCTAGGTAGCAGATCTGGGACTCAAACCCAAGTGTTTTGATTCCAAATCCATTGTGCTCTCATAGGCTGTAAAATAATTTGTAAAAATTTGTCAAAATCTGGAAAATTGGGCTAACAATCAGCTTAGCTCATAGGAGTATTGTGAAGATGAATAATAACTCACATTTCTAAAGCATTTTACAATCCTGTGCTGTACATTGTGTTATTGTAATAATGTTTATTATTGTATTATTATAATTATTGTAATAATTTTTTAACTGGGCTCCCTGCTTCCACCTTCTCTTTTCTCCAACCTATCCTTCACAGAGCTGGCCTAATGACCTTCCCTGTGGTCAGGGCTGATGATGTCACTCAGCGGCTCAAAAATTTGTAGTTTACCTTTGCTTATGGGATAAGATACCCATGCCTTCCCCGGACATTTGATATCCTCTGTCAACTGGCTCCACCTTTCCTTCTTAGCCTTATTTTGCATCATTCCCCTTCACACACTACATTGCCACTAAACTGGTCTATAAGCAGTTTTTCCGAACTCAGCATGCTCTCTGCTGCCTCACTGCCTTTAGGCCCCAAGCCTGAAGCTCGTTCCTTCCTTATCTCTACCTTTTAGAAGACTTCTTTCAGGGCCAACCTTGGGCACCACATCCTTCATGAAATCTTCCCTGAGCCACTCCACTAAACATGTTCACTCCCTCATCCAATGTTCCTTGAGCCCCTTATCTGGATGTTTTCTTTGCCTCCATCACATCCTACTTTGTGTAATACTCATCTGTGTATATGTCATCTTCCCTGTGTCCAGTCGATGGCAAGTTCTTTGAGAACAAAGACTATATAATTTTTTAAAATCTTGAACATAATAGTTGTTTAATAAATGTTTGTTGAATTGAATCACATCCTCATTTGGCAGATGAGGAAACCAAGACTTAAAGAAATTACGTGACTTGCCCATGGCCACTCATCTAGTAATTGTCAGAGTGACAGTTCATACCTAAGTCTTGCAGCCTCCAAGTCCAGTGCTCTTTTTCTTTCATCATGCTGCCTCTCATCCAGTTCCAGAAAAAAAAATAATGTATACGAAGCACTAGGTAACTATAGGGTAATATTATCATTATTAAAAGCAATAATATTTTTTTCCTGATTGATGGGAGCTTTGGATGTTGAACCCCCAGCCTGGAAGGAAGCTCTGGATTCTCTCCACCTAATGTCAACTGTTTTTGTCCCCCAGGTATGTGTTTGCAAGCCTTTGTGGAAGCATTCTTCTTCCTGGCCCAGAGAAGGTTCAAGCATTCATCACTGCAAGAGCAAGTTGCCTCTTTGGTCGACCTGTGTGAATACCACCTGACCCTGCTGGATGAGAAACGTCTACTCTATAGCAAAGGCACCTCCTCTGGCAGGCCTCCCAACAGCAGTTCTTCCCAAGAAAGGCTCCCTCTCACCCAGCCGCCAAATGGGTCTTTCCTTCCCCGAAATAACACTGCCAATAAATTTACCCACTACAGACATCCTCAGTCTTGAGGGATGGCACTTTGGTATGGAAGAAGAAACTCATAGAGAATGTCAGGGCTGATGAGGGCTCCCCACCCCATAAGCATGTGACTGCTGGTGAAATGTGGAATGCCAAGTCTTTCTTTTGCTAAATGCTCTCACCTGTTTATTTCCCATTTCCCCGAGTTCCACGCTTCCAAAAGTGAATGCCCTATGTACAACTGTCTGTGACCCCAGCCCTTCTTTTTCAGTTCATCAGTGGATGGACTATGTACCTTCTGTGACAAAGGCCATCCTTCTTACTTTATGGAATACCGCATATGAAGACAGTGGGCATGAATTCATACTGTCAAGACCACTGACTCCTGGGGATGATAGCCATGGAGGAGACAGCCCAAGGAAAAGAAATCTCAGGGTTTCTGTGGCCTCTTCAAGAACTGAGAGCCATTTTATATCACCCTCTATCATAATGGAAAATTATTTGGGAGAATCAAGTAGGAGTATGCAAATCTGCAATCCCTAATATATATGCATGTGTCTCAATGAGTTCACTTAGTGTTTTGGATTAGTTGGCCCCATTTCTGCAAAGCGAGTCAATTTTCTATTTTTACATTTCAGAACTATAGATTTGGGGTGGTGCTGCTCAGTGGGTATACTCTGGGAAGCTTGGTTTTTGTACCAAAACATTGAAATCACACCTGCTCTGGAACTTTGTAGATGGTATGTATGATGAAGACTTGTTAGAAGAACAAGCCCACTTTACCTCTAAGGTTTGGGATGAGAGAAAGAAAGGAAGTAACACCTTCTACTTACTCCTCAGGAAATGTTTGATTCTGGTTTTAAAAAGAAGCTAATTTTACAGGATGGAATCTTAGAATTGAAAGAGATCTTGGAATAGAAAATGCTAGAACATAGGGCATAGAATATTAGAGATGAAAAGAACCTTAAAATACTGAAAGAAAAAAGAATATTAGAGCTAGAAGGAGAGCAACTGAGAGAATAGAATGCAGGAATGTCAAAAGTTAAAGCTAGCAGGAATCTTAGAACATCAAATTCTAGATTCCAAAAGACCAAAAAGACCTTAGAAGGTATGTGGTCTAGTCCCCTGATTTTACAGATGGGAAAACCAAGGCCCGGATCTAGGGGGTAACAGAGCCAGCACTAGAACGCGGGTCTCTGCACTCCCAGACTAGTGCACATCCTCTAACAACATACTGCCCCTACTTCTCCAGGTGGCTCTAACCTTTCTATTCAACATTCTGGTGCCTCTCTTTACTGTAATAATTTGGCCAGGAGACCCTGTTGTAATTAATATTCCTATATAGTGCAGGGATAAGAAACAGAGCTTATAAAAACCTTTACTGCATGGAGCAAATGGATTTCATGGCAAAAGACTTGCTCAAAGCATTTAAGCATAGCTTACTATCTTCTTTGGACCAGAACTGAGTCTGAGCACAGAACTAGAGCTTCTCATCCTTTCTGAAATTTCTTTTTCAAAGCGCACGATAATGCCAATACCTAGCAGTTTTAAGCTCTAGAACATTACTCATTTATTTAATAAGTTTATTAAGCACCAAACAGAATTTGAGAGTCATAGAATGTTAAATCTGGAAGGGCCCTTAGAGCCCAGCATGTAGAATGTTAGTATATAAAGCATTGAGTGTTCAAACCATAGGGGGACTTAGAGATCATCTGATTTAGAGCATTCAGTCTGCAGAAGAAATTGAGACCCCCAAGAAAAGGAATGACTTGCCAAAAGTCACCTGATGGCAGGGCTGGGACCCAAATGTTCAGCTTTCCATACTATGTGCAAAGCCTTGTTCTGGGCCTCCTAGGACATACAAAGGTTGGTAAGACTCTGGCCCTTTTGGCAAGAAATTTCTAATTTAATGATCATTTAATCAACATGAAGTTTTTAATCAACTACTATGGCACTATGCTAATAGGGGAGTTAAGATAGATAACTATAGCTAGATAACCTAGATAACTATGGTACAAAGTGGAATGTGCTAAGTACATGGGAGTAGAGAGGTAGAGCTCACTCGAGGCTTAGGCAAATCACAATTTGAGGGCATCTGTATGGTTTCAGGGAAAACGTGGCCCATGAGCTAGTAGTCCTGGGAAGATGGAAAGGATAGCAACAGACAGATGAGGCAGGAGGGCAGCATTCCAGATGTGCTGGTCATTGTGAATAAATGGGCAGAGCTCCTAGTGAGGTATCTTCAGGGGATATTTTCAGTCATCTCACTTTGGCTAGAACATAGAATATACAAGGGGGAAATTGTAGATTATCTAAACAAATTGGAGGGGATATTCTGGTGTGTTGCAGTTTTATCTCCCATATGTCAGTAGAATTTGGAGGGAAGAAGCTTCATGTTGCCTAATTTTGAATGATATTGTAAATATCAGTTTTCACAGCCAGGAATATTCTTTTAGGCCATCACAGCTCATCACCAGACCATTTGCTTTGTATATCACATTCTATTTTTTTTTCCCCAAGATGAATTTTCCTCCTAAAAATGCTGCTCATTTTGCAGGTTGACTGTGAGGAAGCCTGGCTTTCCTCCGAAGGACTCTGTGTCTTCATGGTGATCATTAAGGAAATGCTGTACCTACCTTACAAAGCTAACCTTATTCCAATGCCTGACAATGATGGCGTAGGACCCTTTTATCTTGTTCTGTCCTAACATCAAGGATTTAGAGGCTGTTCTATTGTCAGGCTGTAATAGGGGCCTCCCCCGTCTTTTCTCTTCCTCACATTAAACACCTCTGAAGCTGTCATGTGATCAGAAATCAGTCTGTTAACAGGCCCACTTCTCCTTTCAGAAAGGGAGAACTGTAATGGAGGCCAAAGGTGCCCCAGAGGCAGACAAACTTTGGAAAGGTTGCTTTGCCAACCTGCCATTAGAAGGTGTAGAGAGAGGTGTTTGAGAAAGGCAGGGCAAGGGAGCAGAGGACCACAATGGGCCCATGGAAGTGTAGGATTTGGGGTTGTAAAGAGGCTCAGATAGCATCTGCTCAAATGCCTTCATTTTATAGATGATGAAACTGAATGAGTCCCAGAGGGGCAAGACGTCTTGCCCAAGGTGTCAGACAATAAGCAGCAGAACCCGGATTTATTGCTAGGTCATCCAGTTGTGGCTTGAATACATTCCCCTAGTGATGGGAAACTCATTACCTCCCAAAGCAGCCTCATTCCATTGTTGAATTCCTCTGATGGTTAGTAAGTCCTTTCTTGTTTCTTTATATTGTGAGCTTATACTGCTAAGTAGTCCAGTATTATAAGGATTCCTCTGGTGGTGGAGTTTCATGTTCAACTGTAGGTTGGTTGGAGAATGAGGATGGTATTTTAGGCAGTGGAGCTTTCCCGGCCCCCTCAACTCATATCATGTAGGGAATTTCCCACTCAATCTCCAAAATAGGATGGCCCTGAGTGGGGACCAGTGCTTTAACCACTCGAGGTCTGGGCTCCAACTAGAAGTCATCCTTTCTATCCTATTCCCACCCCCTCCACTCCCTCCCAGTTACTCTTGAAATAGCAAAGTCAACACTAAGCAGATGGTTATCTGAGTTATGGAGTTGCTATCTGAGGCATAGGTAGGAAGCAGTTGGTATCTAAGGCTTGTGGAGGGTTCCTTGTTGCTCTTAACATTTTCATAAGGGAAGCAGACAGTTTGCATTATCAGTCTGCTTCCCAAGACCTCTGTTTTGTGTTGATATAGTGGAAAGGAGAAGGAAGGAGAGGACATGCCTGGGTCGAGGTACGTGTGGATGGGTCCTCCATCTTTCATTGGTCCCCTATCACTGGCTGGCTGAACTGTCAATCAGCATAGGATCACCAATGATGATATGATAGCCAATTAAAGCTGTCATTAATGGGCTCAAAGGCAATCAACAGCTCAGTTACCCAGGGACATTGGTGGAGAGAAGACTAGTGTAGAGAAGTGGCTGAGGCAGTAAGGGAGAATCCTTATCCCCAGATAAGGGTACAAATGGTGTCCTCCCCCTGATTTTATATGTACCATCACTATTCCTAGAGTGCTTCCATTACAAGAGCACCCTATTGTATTTGAAAAAGCCCCCAGCTAGAAATCAAGCTCCAGCCCCATCTCTGCAGCTTATAACTATCTCACAGCTGTGTGGATCATGCTGTGTCAAGCATAGCTGTCATACAGAGGTGGTGTGGCTTAGTAGAGAGAAAGCCAACCTCAGAGGCAAGATGATGGCAGTTCAAGTCCCTCTGACATACCCTTAGTATGTGATCTTAGACAAATCACTCGCTCTCTTAATGACTCAGACCACCTTCTAAGACTTAGCTGCAGAGAAGTGATGATCTGAGAACTTAAGAGGCCATTAGATTAATAAGAGCAATGAATTAGGAGTCAGGAAGAGTTGAGTTCAAACCTAGCCTCAGACACTTACCAATTAAGGGACCCTGACAAGTCACTTAAAACTCTATCTGCCTCAGTTTCTTCATCTGTGAAATGAAGATAATAAATAGCACCTGCCTCCCAGAGTTATGGTGAGAATAAGATGAGATAATATTTGTAAAATAGTTTGCAAACTTTAAAGCACTATATAAATACTAGCCATATTATTATCAACTTTGCTAAAGGGAGTTTCCTTTTCTGGAATTCCTAGTACCAGTGAAATCACAGATCTGGCTGAAACCCCTCAAACCCTTCCCCTCCTCAAAACAGCCCATGCCATACACATGTGTGCTGGAATTACTATTACTGCAAAAATCCTCCAATCCTCATAACTTTTTAAATGAGTTTTTCCATTTCCCAGCCTCCTAATACTAGTTGGAAGTATTTAATTCTTCTTTAAATCTTACAAAGCTGATTTCCTGAATATCTCAGTGCCTCACCACAGTTATTTCCACCAGATAATTATAGCCCACATTATGGAAAAATGTGTCTCCTCTATTTCAACTTTGCTGATTTCATCAAGTAAACTTGTGTTCACAAACTGTTAAATGCACAAAATAAAATACTTAAGATTAACAAAGAAAACCAATTCTATTGAAATGCAGTTATCAAAAAAAAATTTTTAACTAAAGCATGGACCCCCTGAATCTGTCTATAAATGCTGAGGGGACCCCAGAGAACCCATGACCCAATCTTACCCCTCCATTTTACAGATGCAGAAACTGAAGCCTAGAAAGATGAAGGGACCATCCCAGGACATACATCCAGCATGTAGCAGAGACGGTATTCAAATCATGATACTGTGATACCAAGTCCAGGGCTCTTTGCAATATTTATATTCATGGACTCCATGCTCATGTCTAGGAATAGCAAGAGGAGCTCCAGGCTGTGTGATGATGTTGGCAGAACAGTTCATGATAACGCACATTTCTGTAGCACGTTAGAGTGTGATTCCTCACAGCATGGGGAGGTTGGTAGGTAAATGTCAATATTATCCTCATTTTAAAACTGAAGAAACTCAGCTCAGAATCATCAGGGGATTTGCTCATCACATAGCTGAGGCAGTGGTAAAACTAGAGTTTGAGGCTGGTCTTGGATTCAAAGACATTTTGA